TTCTAATAAATTTAATTTATTTAATATTTTTATATACTAACGTAGTGATTTTTTCTAGCTAGAAGATAGTAATTGATTAGTAAAAAGTTTTTTAATACAAGAAAAAATAGTTATAAAATTAATTGATCAAATATGAGTAAAAAATATTGAATTCTTTTATCAATATATTAATATTAAAATTTTTGACATTGACTATGAATTCTAGAGCTTCTGTGATCTTATTTTTTATTAAAATATTTGAAAAAGTTATTGCATTTACTGATTATTGAATTTTGAAGATGAAATAAAATATTTAAAAAAATATTTCATGTTGAAGTAGCAGTTCATATTGAGGTGATAGACTATTATATACAAGAGTTTAACCAGAGATTAATATAAAATCAGCCATTAGAGCTCAATTATAATTATATATTATAATTATTAATTAAATATATAATAATGATGATAATAATAACAGTAATAATAATAATAATAATAATAATAATAATAATAATAATAATAATAGAAAAGTGTCATTAATATGTAAGCTTGATTAGATTAAAAAACAAGGTTAAGTTTATTTGAGTGATGAATCATGTTGATAATTATGTTAGCCTTGCAATTGTTGCTAAATATCTTCTGATATTTGAAAATAATATGCAGCTGCAATTTATTTGATAGCTTAACTTCCCCTATCTCTATTTAGACTTGTAGACCCTACTTTATCTAAATACTCACACAAGGCACTTATCACACTCTTCCCCACGCCTGGCTGGCTGCTGCCTCATTTACCACCAATTCTTGCTCAACTTACCACCTGAAAAAAGTTTTACAAGTTTTTTTCCAGACTCAGAGTGAGAAAAAATATGACAGACTCCCCTTTGCCGCTGTCCTCCTGGAATTTTACTGCAATGGCTGGCAATGTAGTGCAGTTTCTCAGACTTCCTGTTCTGGCGTCATCCGGCCTGGCCATTCTAGCTAGTGGCATCCTCTATTTCAAGCAGAAGTAAGCAACTAATTGTCCTGTTGTAACCCTGTGCTTGCCCTCCCACTCCGCAACGACAACCCCGGGGCTTCCGCCTTTGTCTATTATTCTCGGTGTTTTGGGAGTTTGCTTCACGTCTTTGCTGATTGCTGCTGGTCTGAGAAGTGAAATAATCTACCCCCGCAATGTTCCTCTTGGTTCGCGCACTGAAGTCCTCAATCCCTCGGATTTTGGAATGAAGGACTATGAGGATCTTCGAATTCCAACCCCTGATGGCGAATCTCTTGCAGCACTCTTTATTCGCCCTTCCAACAAGCGCCCTCCCAAGCCGAAATTCACGATACTCATGTTCCATGGCAATGCCGGAAATATAGGCCACCGTCTCCCCATCTCTCAGGCTCTGGGACAGTGCCTCAACTGTAATATCTTGATGCTCGAATATCGCGGCTATGGCCTGTCAACTGGAACTCCAGATGAACAGGGTCTGAAAATTGACGCCCAAACCGGCTTAGATTATATCCGGCAGCGAGCCGAAACAAGCGGCACAAAGGTTCTCATCTACGGTCAGAGCATCGGCGGTGCAGTGGCGATTGATTTGACTGCGAAGAACCAACATCAAGGAGATGTTGCTGGATTGATTCTAGAAAACACATTCTTAAGTGTGAAAAAGATGATTCCGAGGTGCGAAAAATTCAGCCCTTCCGTGCCGATTCAAAGGACAAGATGCAACCACCTCAATCTATGAACATTGGTTGTCTGTTGTCTAATGCATTATTAACTGTAATTCTCCTCTCTAGTGTTTTCCCAGCTGCGAAGTACGTCACTCGCCTTTGCCACCAATACTGGGCTAGCGAGGATGTTCTGCCCAAAATCACAAAGGTCCCGATTCTGTTTTTAAGTGGACTAAAGGATGAAATTGTCCCGTACGTTTAAATTTAGCGCCCTCAAATCTATATCTGCCTAGGTGCCTAGGGACTTAACTCTGACAGTTGATATATGCTCACATAAAATCCTCATTCTTTAGCCCGGACCATATGGCCCAGCTCTTTTCGATTTGCAAAGCCAGCACCAAGGTTTGGCGCATGTTCCCAAATGGTCACCACAATGATACCGTTGCTGAATCTGGCTACTTTGATCACATTTACTCGTTTGTGATGGATTACGTTATCGACGATTGACTTGCCTTTAGTTACTCCTTTCCATCTCTTTACTTCTGCATACCAAGGTGCTGGGGCGAGTGGAAGAAAGGAACGGAAATCAGCCGATGGTTGAGGGGAGCTGAAGGTAACTGAGGGCAAAGTTGCCGTTATTTCCGTTTCCGGGAACAGACATCCACCTGGAGCACAGCACAACGTGGAATCAGCCACCATACGCGGAAAGATATCGCGAAACTATCCGGCTGAGATCAGATGGGACATCATACATCACCACGCTCCTCCATCCTCCCACGTTCTTATCTTCCTAAGTTGTTTTCGTTTTCCGAGTAATTTAGCCAGTGCCTACAGACATGTACTTTCCTTGTTCTTTTTCTTCGTCTTCTTTTTCTTCCTTGAAGTGTAATTATATGATCTTCTTGATGCCTGCCCCCATTCCTTTCCTGTGGTTTTATTCTCTCATTTTTTCGCTGATGCATCAAGCTATTTAGATGATGTATGTTCAAGATACCCTTCAAAAACTTTCCCCTGCGGCACTCTTACACCCCCCACAGGCTATAGCTACAATGAAATGAAATGCTATTATTAATCCCAGAAGTCTGGCCTCTCATCTACTCTTCATATCCAAATAGTCAACTCCAGTGTGATTAGGTGACGAGCGGAGTCCGTGCGATGGTATATCAACTGGTATTGCAAGTTCACATCTCGGGAACTATTTCTGTTTTAGGATCCTGGTATGACGTCATTTTAAGTCCACAGCTCGCGCCGTAGGTTTTATTTTCCAAACCAATGCAAAACACGTTCTTTTAGAAACTGAGTTTCCAATTTATTCTCACACTTCTATTTTTCTGCTTATTTAAAGTTCCCTCCCTGGTATTTTAATTGTTTCCACCTGAAAGCCAAGATGATGTGGAAATATCTACGCGTACACAACTGGGTAAAAGAACACTTATTGCTGCTCATAAGACACTGTACTCTCTCAATCTCATCCATCAAATCCTTCAGTTTAAATCCATTAACATCACCCTGGTGGAGCATTCTCATGAGCTCTGTTCTTTTCCCAGCCTGTGTGCTTCATCCACTTCTCAATCATAAAACTATTGCAATCACATGATCAATAACTTTGCCTCATTCTGTGGGACGTCTAAAGTGATTGTATTTGGTAGCTATCTCAGGGATGCTATATACTACAGTGTGTGCTAGTTCATAATAGGAAGTCTAGGCTTCAACACCTTCTCTTAGACTAGCTACTGTACAAACTAGCTACTGTCCTGCTCAAATCAATCATATTCATCTTCTCTGCCAATTTATCTTGTCTTTCACTTGCTATATTCATCAAATTCTTTTCTTATTTTACTCATAATCTGACTGACTTTTTAAAAATTCTTCAATATTTAGAGAAATTATTGTAAAAAATACTTGAGTTAACTGATTTGCAAGTAGATTCTCTATATTTTTATCTTTGCTGTTATCTCTATTCTTAGTTTTATTTCTATCTCTATTTTTCAATATCTCAATACACTTCTTATTATATTTATATTATTTAGTGCTTGTGAGATTTAAATTTTTAAACCAGCAGTATTTAATAATATATTCTGTATTCTCACAAAAGTGATATTGATATTTATCAAACTATTTAATAATGATATTCATGATAGATAAGTTAAAATGAGTTATAGTAATAATGACATAAGTAATTAACTGATTCATCAATTTATCAAAATTTAGATTTTAAATAGAGCTCTATTTGATGATATAAAAATTATTTTAACTTTATTTTAATAAATTTCTATTATTAATCTTTTAGTTCTAGTATAAATAAATTATGATAGATATTCTTAGCTTAATTTTTACTTAAAGATACAAGTTTTACCTTTATATTTCAAAAAGTTATAATATAGATGTGAAAATTATTATTTTTAAGCTGTAAGTCTCTTAACTTCTTAATAATTTAAAAATATTCTTCTGCATGAGATATAGTATAGTGTTAAGCAAGTTTCTTTCATATAGTTGCTATAATATATATAGTTATATTCAAAAATTGAAAGATTCTTTTATAAAAAAGTTTATTTTTCTTATTTTAAAGCTTAATTTTTAGAGAAATTATGATAAAAAATACTATTTATAATTTATTAAAAATATTTTTTATTTGAATCAAATAAGCATCTGCAAAAATAAAGTTTTTTTATTTTAAATAATTGATTTTAGTAAAAATAACTATATACTTTTCTTTTAAATTAATCTTTATATCTTTATATAATTTATCAACTTTATTTTTAATAAAATTTTTAGTAGTATTTGATAAAGAATTTGAATTTTCTTTCAGTCTTTATATAAGTATTTCTATCTATTTGTTTTATCTTTTTATATATTTCATGATTATTCACATCATATTCATATCATTTTTATTTATATTTATTTTATCTATTTGATCAGTTTCTCCTCTAGACTCAGAAATAAATATATTATATTTATCTCTATTTATATTATTACTTATAGAAATATTTAATGATTTTGCAGTTTATATTTTTGAAGACATCTGTTATTCATAATTAAAACTTTCAAAATATTTATTTTTCATTAAATTTTTACTATAATTCAATAATACAGTTTATATAAGATATTTCATATCTTAGATAAAAGAAGAAAAGGAAATAAAATATAAAAACAATATTTAAAAAACTCTTTAAAAAGAGAAATAAGCTATTTAGATCATAATTTATGAAATATTTAAAGTAATTATATTTGATAATTATCTTGAGAATACTATATATTATTCTATAGTATATTAGTTCATAATAAAAAGTCTAGACTTTAATATATTTATAGTTATATTGTGATTTAATACTACTGTATCATATATTAATTGTATTATATCCATTCATCATAAGTAAATACGTCTCATTATAAAGAAAACGTAACTGTAATAAATTTTTTTTTATATATTTATCATTAATCTTTAATAATTAATAATTATTATTACTATATTTATTAATATTAAATATTATAAAATTAATATAAATTTAAAAATCAAAAATATAATATAAAAATTAGAAATTTTATATAAAATTCTATATGAATATATTAAAAAAAAAAGATTAATAAATATAAAAATTTTAATCAATTAAATATTAAGTAAATAAATTTATTAATTGAATAAAAACTTTATTTTTTTACAGTTGAATATATTAAAGTTGCTATAAATTGAATATTAAGTTATTATTATATCATTTTTAACATCTTTTCTTCTATTATAAACATAATATAAAAGTATTAATTTATCAAATAATTGCTAAATTATAAAAAAAAATCAAGCTGAAATTTATAAATTTAAAATAAATATCAAATAAAAATATAAACTTTATTATTAATTGATTTGTATAAGGGGTTGAACTCTTAGATTTGCTCTGGCTGGCTGACTCAGCCTAGCCATCATTCACATATGCGCACGTGATCATGCTATGTGAGCTTGCTTAAGATTGAGTTCTCATCTCATTCTTTTCTTCCCTTTCTCAAGCAATTCGTCCTTGTTATATAGGAGGACTAGTCTCTAGTTCTTAGAGCTTAACCCTTTACATTATGAATTGCTTCACTCCTTTCATTGATAGGCCACTGGGAGTCTTAATTCTGTATCATGAAGCTCAGCAAACATGCTGACATATGATAGACTATTAAGAGTCTTAAATCCTGTATCATGAAGTTCAGTGATAGCACTGGTATATGATTAGACTGGGTTAGCAATCATGCTAACAAATGAATGAGCAACATTGAAAATGTCTAGCTGAATGAGATAAAGCAGCAGACTTGTACAACAAATGAATTAACATGAAGCAATGAGTAGGAATGCTCTCAGCAGCTTTGAACAACAATAAATAGCTTTTCTTCAACAGCAGAAACAGGTTCAGCATGAGAACAGAGATTTAATAGCAGCTCAGCAAGCTGAAATAGCTAATCTATGACAAGCTTTGAACATCTCAACATCAACTCTCTCTCAATTGAACTCACAATCACTTATTGCAGTCAGAAGACCAAAGATCAAGCTACTGGACTGTAAGAAGTATGATGGTTTTAATCTGAAGCACTACTCTCAGTGAGAGCTAAAGCTTCAATCAAAACTTAAGATTGATGGAAAAGCTTTAGATAATAATAAGAAATGTGCTTGATATGTGTACTCAAGACTGAAAGAAATGGCAGCAGCTCAAGTTTACTCCTGAGTTGAGAATAATAAGAACAAGATCAACTTCACAGTAGAGAGCTTATTGAAGCAGACACACATGCTCTTTAGTAATTGTGCATGACAGAAAAAGGTTATGCAAAAGCTCAATAATCTAAGATAGAGTAGAAGAGCTCTCTTTGACTTTCTATCTGAATTTAATCAGCTACTGCTGAAAGCTGATGGTCACAGATGAGATGATCACATTAAAAAGAAGTATTTGAAATTCACTCTAAGCATGAAGCTGAGGGAAGGCATGGTGAGTGTAAGAGAATCATCTCTCTATGAGAATTACTGTAGAGAGCTTAGATTAGTTGATCATCAACTCTCTGAGCTTAAGACTTTAAGACATTGATCTAAACATCATAAGAGCAGATCTTCTTCAGATCATATGACATCTAATTCACACTCTCTACTTTGTCATGCTGTTCTTGACTGATGAAACTGGTCTCAAGCTTTTACTGATTATCTGATAAATCTCTCTCCTGGTGCTATGACCCCAAGCACTCACCACATCAAATTGATAAATCAGACAGAGGTTAATCAATGAAGAGAGCAAGGCCTGTGCCTGAGATGTGAAGCTGGAGGTCATATGATTAAGAGCTGTCTGTTCAAACCTCTCAGATGCTCTGTCACCTCCATGATAGCTAAGGTGATTTCCAAGCTGGTACTGGACAATGATGATATGAATATGAGTGAGAATTTGGGAAAAGAGTAGCTCTAACCAAAAGACACTAGAAGGAGTGAAATAAGAAGCTTATGAGGAAGTAATGAAGAAGATTTAAATCTAAGATAATATTCAAACCCTTCA